TTCGTAAACAATGACACGCTATGGCCATATGACGCATGCGCAGGTGACGACTCTCCTGCTTTAACAATGTAAGTAGAATCACATATGTTTTATAGCAACTGGAACCATTTTTAAAATATTCTTGTTGTACTATCTGATTTAACGGTATATAATGTAGAAAAAATTAAAATAATTGAATCACATTTAAATTGTTTCAAAAGTTCTTTGAATTTGTTCAATATATCACTTTTGAATTATACCACTTCTACAAAAGACGATATTTGAGAGCTCCTTAATTGATACTAGACAAAGTAGATTTTAATATTTTAAACAACTTTTTGGTTTTACATTTAATTGACATAGGAATAATTATATAACATAATTTAATTTAGTTTGTCGGTATAGATTTAATGCTCACGTGCTCATGTGTTTTTAGAGAGATTACACAATTGATTTATCGATACTCCCCAGCTGCAAAACATCATACAAACCTATTTATCAAATTCAGTGAAACCAATATGTATCCCAAATGACTTTTGAGAATTTTTTCAAGTTAAAAAAATACTAGTTCATACAATTAAATGACATCACAATTGAAATAAACACTAAAAATTAAAATCAATAAGACATTTTTGAAATATTTACTTGTATTATTTACTAGTCGCTGGATTTTTTTATTTATTTATTTATTTAGTTATTTCTTTAGAAACGTGTCACTGTAGAATAATATGGGTAGGATTAATTACCATCCAACGACTTTCACAGCTGAGGTCGCGTTTACTTCTCAACTGTTTCAGGATTATTTTCACACAATTGGATTTAGTGCATAAATCCACTGTAATATATTAAAAAGTGAGTCTAATTACTCAAAACAGAGAACCACACTTTCTCCAGAAGCAATACTTGCGTTATTTTTATAACTTGGTTTCCCTTTGTCAGAAAAGCGTTTGGCGTCACACGTTTGTATTACGCCTGTGTCTATGGGAGGAACAATGGCTCTTCTGTGTCGATAAGAATCTTAACGTCAGAAAATAATAAATTTTAAGACACCAAATGTATCAGAAATAACTAAAATACCATTACAAAGACCGACACAAGAAGAGCTATGAACTCAAATATAGTGTACATGTTACATTTTATATTTATAAGTTTATCTCTAGCACAATTACCACAGTCGGGCTGCAGCCAATTGCAAATGTGCCGTTCTGTGAGCAAAATAATGTATCTGGTTGCAGTAACAGGACAATTTCCCCTGAACAAATTATATTATATTTCATTTATTCTATTTTGATTTCAACCAAAACTGTTATGCATATTTTGTTTACATTAGTACATGAAATAATAAAAAAACACTACTGGTAACATTGTAGTTTCATTACATTAGTATTGTTAGAAACTCACATGCATGGAAATTATGAATAACGTATTGTGATAAATAGATATTGTGTACTGTATATCAGAAAGTGAAATGTAAGGGAGTACTCACGTTTTGACGAACAGTCTGCACGATCTTGTCTCTAATCAATATCCTGTAAAATATAGGGTCAATTTCACGTGTTATTACTCGACACAATTTATCGTGTTCTGTTTGTTTTTCACAAGATTGATGAGATAAATAAGAGCACGATTTTTAATTACATTTGATAATTATTAGAGTGATTCATCTTGGAAAACGTCCATGTATTTGAATACAGTGGTGTATTTACAATTGAAAAAAAAATTACTAAACATGGTAAAGATTACCAGAAACAATGCCATTTTTACTACCCCTACCCCCCAATTAGAGCTTTTTGGGGGGTAATTTTTCAGACCAAATGTCTTTACAACAGAGTCAATAAGTTATGTTCACTGTCAACAGCTATAGGTTGTCGTTTATAACTAAATATATACGATTTCGTTGCATAGCGCAAATGTGTCAAACAATATTTCTGTAATCGTCTTAACTTTTGCGGTCAGATCATTAACTGACACAAATACTTGCACTAATCTGTTTATTGATAGAAATTACAATACGTGGTTAATTGCATGAAATAGAATACATTGATTTTCAAAGAAAATATACCAAAAAATTAAGAAATGTGAGTAAAATATGTGAAATAAATATTTTCAGACTTGTTGACTTGTTTTCACGCGTAGATAGAGTGACACCCATGGTCGTCGTTTCGATCTTTCGTAATCCTTACACCACCTGTTGCCAAAACCATTCACGAAATAAACACAATATAACACGATGACAGTAACACTCTAACCGAAAAAGTAGTTTATTATTATTGTTATACCACCTAATATTACAACTGTCAGTATCACAAGTTTATTAAAGCATTATAGTATTGTATTCCAACAATAGAGTTTATCCTATAAATGATTTTCATTTATATGATTACTATATTTAACACATGGATGAATATCTGGTCCTCTTCAAGTTCGTTTTAAAAAACACAGCATACTGCTATAGTATTTGATATTTTTGAACGGTCACACTGAGCAGTTCAGTGTAAGCGGCCCCTGAACAACTGCAAACAATAATTAGGACGGTTAATATATAGATAAAAAAATTCCTTTGTGCAATTGGCTTCGTTCGTGCGTGGGAATGTCAGTTCTGATTCATATTAAATGTTTGTACCATGTTAGGAACGCAAAGTAATTGAAAGGTCATGTTTTTTTAATAAAACGAAACAAACACTGTTTTGTCATTTCATTTGCAACAGATACACATGATCTCACGTAAATTAATATAGTATCAATGCGTAGTAGTTTCGTGTGAACATTACACGTTGTATTGATGTGATGTATGGTTCTACGATCATGATATCGATAATACCAAATAAAAACAATATACTTTCAAAAAGAAAGATACGATCAGAATACAATTAAAAAAGAATTTATATACTCTCTAGATACCGGAAATGTGTTGCGTTCGTTCTAGCGCCTTGGAGTAAATAAAATTATAAACGTTCAAACCGCCAAGGCAAATTCTCCCTAACTCGACGATATGTGTGTTTGTTATAAACATTTAACATTAAAATTAAAATGAATAATTAAATGTTTCGTTTTTGTTTGTTTTAGCTCTCTTTATATTAAAAACACGCCATATTTATTTTAGTAATTCCGTTTAACTGAAAAATAGATACTCTTTACAAGGAAAGAGGTAGTCAAATACTTGTGTTCCGGTACAATGACTATCAATTACAGTGCATACCAACCTTAACGGCAGTGTTGTTTCTCCTCTCCGATCACCACGCCAATAACAATAATAGCTGAACTGATTTTAATGAAACGCCGCTAATCCTTGCATTTATATACGTCATGACAGCTGTGTCAAATTGAATAAAGTATGCTGATATTAACATGTATCAGCTGTGCATACTGTGCTGTGCACTGCTCTTCATATATGCACGCACGTAATCAGATACATAAAGAACTTGGTACCTGATAATGAATTAACGTTTCTTTAATTTAAAATTGTATATGCCAATTATATTAATCGATAAACACATTATAAAATTTAGTACAAGCATGTTTTACTGTATATCCAATAAGATAGGCGCTGTATTTGTTTGCATGTATGTAAGAGTTTGTATTTAACTAACAACTTATTCGATGTATTTAAAATGCCAGATTCCTGGTGCGTGTAATACTCTACTTGTCAGCAACTTGTTGGTTTCAGAACGCGAATTTCTGTAAAACTGTGCCGAACTGTATGTCAAATTAAACATTCAGCCGCCAAGTCATGGTGTGACAAATATTTATTTAGCCGAGTATTAACACGACAGGATATGAACTAGAATAAATCAAACCTGAATTTGATAAGTAATTATGCAAAACGTAACGTCACGCTAAGCCCCGCAACAATTTTACTTAAAATATGTCAGACACCATGCACAGTGTGTGCTTTGTAGTCGACATCAGTCATGGCATTTATACTGCCTGACCTCATATTTATTCAATTTCTCGTGAAGACATTTAAATAAGTCGTATGTGGACATAAGAGTGTATTTTAGCTCAATAATTGCATGGCATGCATGATGTAATACAGAACAGATCAAAATACATATCTCATATATACTGTCGAACATTTTCTCATTCTACGCGCTGTCTGAAGGTTGTCTGTCTGAGAGCAAACAAAGTAGTTCTTTTAGGAGTACCGTTTTAGCAAAAATAAACACTATTCAGAAGTATGATATTTTCCCCTTGGGTACACGAATATACTTGCCGAGGGGAATGAAATTTGAACAACAGTAATGGTACTTTTAGGCATCCACTTATTTTGACTAAAACTAATTTGCATATCACCCATGCAATATTGTTTTCGGTATTTTCACAGTCGATATGCAAATGAACATATTATTTCCATTGGCTACCGAACTAGTTTTATTTTGTAAACGCATTTTCGTCTGCTATTTTTGTCCGGTTCAAATCGTTCAGCAACATTTTTGGCATGTTAGATGTACATCACATGGAATACTGCGATTGGGAGAACTTGATGTATGTTGATCACCTGGAAACTGAGTTTTATAAACATTGAAGAGCTCTCGGAAGATCCACCCGCCGTAAAATCAGCGATTACTATGGAGCCATCAACCATCAACCATCAACTTTGAGATACCAGGAAGTTTCTGCTGGTGACGCTGCGGCGTTACTCAGTTTCAAATAAAGATTACCAACGCCAAATGAGCAACGTTTTGACCGGTAACCAAGACTCATTCAATCCACGACCAGCAAGCAACATCACAAACGAAGTTGTAGCATGCAGCTCAGCGACGACCGCTGTCGAAGAGAGTCATCCTGTCAGTGGAGTACTGCAGTTCTATGGTGAGGCTTTTAACTTCAACATAAACTGTGTATCATAGTTCAAGTTCTGGTTCTGTCGTGTCGCTTCGCTCGTGAATGTACGACCGCAGGATACATCGCATCACTCGTGAAAATAACTTCCATACGCAACGAAAGCCACGAAGAGGGTGTGGGGTTCTGTCATCTTATTTAATTCATAAATTGTAGGAAACCCGGTCATAGTATGCATTGACGTATTTGTTTATGACTAAACGATAGTAATGCTAAAATGGATAGTAAACTTGATGTATAAAGTAAAATGAACACCCAGCCATTTAAAAAAAGCAACACTTTTATTCACTATTTTTCGTATTTGCTGCCATATTGAAAACCAAAAGTTTTTAATCTCCATAAAATCAATCATGCCTTATTACATGCAGCTATTGTATCACTCCGCATCGTATATTCATATCAATCGTTATTAATATGACAACTCATTCTCATTTGAGAATTATTTGTTATAATTATATTGATAACTCCAATTGTTATGGACGAATTTTCATCAACTTTAGAAGAGATTTCCATTCGAAAAAAAAAACCCACATTCGACTTAGATTTAGGGAGAGATTTCGATCCGGTGAACACAATTTTGAGGATTCAGATTGAGTACCTTCTAATTAGTATATGTGATTGTGACGACGTGAATGTCGACGTATGTATAAGTGTTGTTCACTTCATCAATGAATTGCACTTTCGTCTGTGTAATGCACTTGGACTTTCAATGTACCTTCAGATACTTTCAAACTTCAAAGGCATACCAACTTTTAAAATACATGAGTACATCTTGGAACTACCTTAGACAGTTATTTGACGGGGCCTGTAGAATATCAAGATTGGACTGAATACAATGTCTAATTGTTTAATTGTTCTCATATGATAATTATTAATTGATATTTATAATAATCAATCACATGATGTATGATATAAGGAAAGTTCTAAAAGACTAGCCTCGATTTCGAACACATACTAATTGGAGAACACTTGTGCCAATTTCCAATGTGAATACTCATTGAATCGATCAAATCAGGCAAAAATACAAATTTGTTTCTGTTTAATAATTTTGACACATGATATTCCATCTACAAGTGTGCACGTGATTTATAGCATTTTCCCTCAGATTAAATTATACATAGTTCATGACTCACTATTAAAGATTCGCCTTCAGGTGACAAGCCCTGTGCGCTTCAATAAAGTAGGAAAGGCGCAAACCTAGAAACTGTCGGACATTAAAGTAGAAGGTCTGATGTTTATTTTTAAATAATAGCTAATTAAGCACTGCATTATAACAAAATGTGTATTAAATTATCTCAGTAATAATTTTGTTTCGAGCTAGCAACTTTGCATATCGTTCAAACAAAATCTGTACCCCCATTTTAATAAAACTGTATATTGTAAACGTAATAAATAACCTAAGACTAATATTAGTCATGGTGCCAGTGTGTGATATTGACGTGGCAGCGATTTATATCATTTATTACACAGTTGTCAATTACACATTTGTGATCTAACCTGGATCCGTTCACAACATTATTTGTGAATGAAACTTTCGGTTAGTTGAAATGATCATTTCAGTGAATGACATTTTACTCTACACCTCCGTATAATATTGTCATATAGCCAGCAGTGTTGGTTATTTAATATAGATTAAATACAGTATGACGTTATTTCTACTTAATTGTGATTAATGCAACCATTAATGTGACAGTTCACCCCTGTTATTACAAACGTCAACACAGACTGACGTTTGAGTAATTCATCCTAATGTCATTCCAAATTTAAGCTATTCCAGTTCCAATGTGTGTATGCATATTGCCTTCATTTGTGGTTGCTGTCTAGTAACGTCGGTCCCTCTTCCCACCACTCGATTCACTTCCACTTCGAAATTGAACACCTTTGCAATTTATGAGTGATACATTTCGAAAAATGAAGACACTAGTCACAATATAAATAACGATAAGGCACAGCCGAAGGCACAGGTATATGTCACAGGTGCTGCATACTTAACCTTACTAATCCCTATATAGCATTGTATTAATATGTCTTTTTATAATAAAATAGATTAATCATTAAAAAAGACTGAATAGAATTTAAATACTTCATCTACTCAACGAATCGGACAATGGACCTATATGACAATGATGAAGTATCCTTCAAAATAATGGTGTTTTCATGGCAACTACCTCGTCTAATAAGTCATACAAAATCGTCTTGTTATGTTATTTAGCAATAAATAGTGATTGGGCATGTTCCCGTTTCCTTGGTAACGATATATAAATCTCTACTAAACTCGTTTGTTCTCGTCTCAAGAACAATTCGATCATAACATTTTGATTTATAAATAAACAAAATCAGTCCAACTGGCCTTTTGTCAATTGTCAAGATTACCTCTTGACAATTTCATCAAAAATCGAATGACCCCGCTGACAGAAATAATACACTTGCGCTAAATGGGAATTATAGAGAAGGAAAGAAATCTACAAAACCGGAAATATTTAAACTAGAAATTATGACTCGCAGATATCCCGAACTTTCAGTTCAATTAAAAGAGATCTCGTTTATAATTTCTTTTTCCAATGGACGCACACACAAAGTATCATATTGTATAGCGCCACCACCGATCGTATTACCGTCTAACAATTACAGCTGACCATAGACCTAAGATGTTGAAGTAATTACGTGTATTTCCTGTATTAAATATTTTCCCCGTTCCCTGTGGCAAGTTTTTCATGAAACAAATTTCTGCTTTATAAATTCTATATTTCATTTCATTAAGCGCAATTTTATTTTCGTTTAGGTTTAGGTTTCATTTACAGCCTACCTGTGGTGGCGCTCTCTGGCATTATTCGTTTGATAATCGTCATGAGTTTGGAAAGGTGTCAGGTATGATGTGAAACGAATAATACACATTACAATGTCATTTCCTTGGTATAACCATACTTCGTCTCCGATGTGAAACGAATACATACACATAACAATGTCATTTCTTTGGTGTAACCATACTTCGTATCCGATGTGAAACGAATAATACACATTACAATGTCATTTCCTTGGTATAACCATACTTCGTCTCCGATGTGAAACGAATACATACACATAACAATGTCATTTCCTTGGTATAACCATACTTCGTATCCGATGTGAAACGAATAATACACATTACAATGTCATTTCCTTGGTATAACCATACTTCGTCTCCGATGTGAAACGAATACATACACATTACAATGTCATTTCCTTGGTATAACCATACTTCGTCTCCGATGTGAAACGAATACACACACATAACAATGTCATTTTTTTGGTGTAACCATACTTCGTATCCGATGTGAAACGAATAAATACACATTACAATGTCATTTCCTTGGTGTAACCATACTTCGTATCCGATGTGAAACGAATAAATACACATTACAATGTCATTTTCTTG